ACAACAAGTGTTTTTTTTTCTGTAAAGCCATAAAGACATGAAATATAATTAAATGCAGACCCTTTTTGTTCAAATTATCTCTTATTATTTTTATTCTAGTGCCTTTTTTTTTTTTTTTTTTTTTAATTGGGAAATGTGTCACCTCTAAAGTGTTATAAACAGTTTTTATCAACAAAATGGAAAATCTGATACAACAGTATTCGGAATATTAGGGTAAAAAAAAATAAGGGTAAAAAACAATAACGAATACACTGTAAATCTGACATATGACATACATTTGTTTGTCCAATGCAAGATTCCAGTATTTGAATAAACATCCATCCATTCATTTTCTTCTGCTTATCTGGTACCAGGTTGCTGCACGTGTGCCTATGATGTAAGGGGTGATGGTTATTTGGATATTTGACACTACTACATAGTATAGACAAGTTATCAACACTAATATTGTGATGGAAAAGTGCAGAAAACATAGATTAAGGACGATGGCTACAAAACCTATTTTTCAAAACATATAATCACAATTGGAATATGTGTGTTTCTACTATTGACACAGATTGCTGTTGAAAGTTTGATTTAAAATGTTGCCAAATGCTGCTGCCACTGACTTTTATCTGTGCGAAATAAAACAAACCATTAGTGCTGTATCACCAAAAGACAGTGTTAAAATCTGTATCTCACTTTTGAGTACAATTATTCAGCAGAAATTGCCTGCTCTGTCTCTGTGGATAAATGGATCCTGGGGTATCAGAGTGGCTTTGGGTGAAGCTAAATCACAGAGAAGTCAGAATGAGATTTGGTGAATGAAGAATTACAGCCCAACAGAGAAAACAGAAGTGTTTTACATTGAACAAGTCTGTCCTGTGACATCTGTGTAAGGTTCAATGTATAAGACCTAATTAGATTCCACCTGATCCAGCGGGTCTGACCAAGCTCCTCACCCTATCTCTAAGGGAGCGCCCTGCCACTCTGCAGAGGAAGGTCAGTTTGGCCGCTTGTATCTGCAGTCTTGTACTTTCGGTCATTACCCAAAGCTCATGATCATAGGTGAGGGTAGGAATATAGACTGATGGTAAATCAAGAGAATTGCCTTCCGGCCCAGCTCCCTCTTCACCACAACAATCCGATACAGTGGCCGCATCACTGCTGTCTCTGCACTGATCTGCTTGTCAATCTCACACTCCATCCTCCCTCACTCATGAACAAGACCCCGAGATACTTGAACTCCTCCACTTGAGGCAGGGACTCTCTACCCACCTGGAGAGGCAAAGCCACCTTTTTCCGGTCGAGAACCATGGCCTTGGATTTGACGCAGCTAATTTTCATCCCAGCTGCTTCACACTCGGCTGCAGACCGCCCCAGTGCACATTGCAGGTCCGGGCTTGATGAAGCCAACAGGACATCATCTGCAACAGCAGAGATGAGATCCTGTGGTCTCCAAACTGGACCCCCTCCAGCCCCTGGCTGCTCCTAGAAATTCTGTCCATAAATACAATGAACAGAACTGGTGACAAAGGGCAGCCCTGGCGGAGTCTAACATGCACCAGGAACAGGTCTGATTTACTGCCCATGGAGCCCAGCTGGGCCCCATGGGAGAAGACCCAGCGACCAGGCGCTTGATCTTGAGCACCACCCCAGGCCTGGCTCCAGGGTGGGGCCCCGGTACTGCCAATCCAGGCAACGTCACTGGCCTCTGTGTGTTGCTCGTCATAGGGGGCTTCTGAACCGCTCTTCGTCTAACCCGTCCCCCAGGACGTTTGCCTTGGGTGATCCTACCAGGGGCATGAAGCCTCCGACAACATAGCTCCCGGGATCATTCGGGCACTCAAACTCCTCAACCACGTTAAGGTGGCAGTTCAAGGAGGGATAGAGCAGCGGTTCTACTCCGAGCTCCTCGATCACACGGAAGGAGCTTGGAGTAGAACCTGGGCATGGGAATGCTTTGGGGTGCCTCCGGAGAAGCTGAAGGAAGGGTCCGGAATGAAGGAAGTCTGGGAGTCCCTGCTTAGACTGCTGCCCTCGTGACCTGGGCCCAGATAAGCATAAGAAAATTAATGGATGGATGATCCAGTGGGTTTTCCCTTATCAACGATACACATTTTTATTAACTTTATGTGAAGTATTAACATAATTACACACCAAATGTAGCCTATTGTAACAATTTTGCAAGATGTGTATATACCAAGAGCAGACCAAAATGTATACATTTTAAACTTAATTTAGATTAAATTGCCCATATTATGATATTTTCTGATCTGTTTTAACGTTTGTTTAACACACAAAATCCTACAGATCTTCTCTCAAACAGAAAACACCCCTTGTGATGGCATGGCATACAGGAAGTGCTCCAATGTGTTTTTAAGCTCCAAATTTACTAGAATCATATGGATAATTTCAGCCCTGGAATTTCCCATCTCTACAGAATAAATTATAAAAGCTATACCCGTTAACCTGAAAACTGCCGTTACATGACATGGTATGTGGCCTTACCAACTTGTCAAAGCCTGATCCTGTCAGATCTCAGAAGCTAAGCAGGGCCGGGCCTGGTTACCACTGGGGTGCCACAGTGGGGCGCCAGTAGTAAAAACTGTCACTGTGTCCTTAGGCAAGACACTTCACCCACATTGCCTAGTATGAAAGTGGTGTGTGTGTGAGAGATAGTGGTGGTCGTAGGGGCCGATGGCGCAGATTGGCAACCTCGCTTCCGTCAGTCTGCCCCAGGGCAGCTGTGGCTACAGTAGTAGCTTACCATTGCCAAGGGTGGAGTGAATGAATAATGAACTGTAAAGCACTTTGGGTATCTTGAAAGGTGCTATATAAATGCAATGATTGATTAATTAATTAAAAAACAAAACAAAAAACAAGGTGGAACAGAGCATTTTGAGCTTTGAAGATGCAGACAAACTAATAATGCAGGATTACTCAAACGTGTGAATGAAACAAAACACAACTTCAGATATGTTTTTGATGAGGTAAGAGCATTATAACATCAAGCTCACAAGAGATAACTTTGTGCAATACAGGACGTTTAATAGCCTAAATCCAAAGACCAAGACCAAACTGGCAGAGGGTGCATCTGAGTGACACGATGCAAGCCTTTAGTCTCCACATGTAAATTATGTATGTTGATATTGTTTGTTGTTTCATCAGATCCTTGCAGCCTGTGTGCCAGCGGAGCATGAGGAAGCAGACAGGTGCAGACAGGTGAAGACAGGGTGAGGACCGTGGGGAAGGGGGTGAGTCATGTCCCTCACCCTTGGATGTCTCCTCTGTCTGAGCAGCTGTTGTCTCACGCTGGAGGCAACACTGCAGCAGTGTGTCAGCTCCTTCTCCATACACCAGACCCTATGAATGCAAAATACCACAACTGTGCCCCTCACCTCTGCCACGCGTATGCTATTCGGGAACAGACACATCCCCCTCCCCCACGATTTATTCAGATCCATTTTAAACCATCACACATCCTAGTTAACACAAACACAAGAAGGAGCGTTTCAAGGACACACACTGATAGAGAAAATAAAGTGCATGTTTATTCAGGACAGAGTGGCTGTGGAGTACAGAGGGTGCACCAGTTCATTTGAAAATGTTGTTCTGATTTGTCCATATTCTAACAGCTTTGGAGATGTAATGTGTGAGATGCAATCAATGCGTGCAGTGTGTATGCCCATAAGAAATTGAATAAACTTTTTTAAAAAGATAGAAAATGAGACTATTAACAATGGAAAGCAGTAGATCTAGATTATCTAGAATGCTGCATCTAGATCAGTAGATATAGGCAGATATTTGCCTGTATTTGAGCTACTAAGTAACCTTTAACTATTTCAGTTTTTTTGATTGGTAAAGGTTATGCAAAATGGATTCTTGTGAGCTTTGAATCATTTTATAATGTTGTTACCTATTCGATAACATACCTGGAGTTATGTTTTGTTTCATTCACACGTTTGAGTAATCTTTTATTAGTCTGTCTACATCTCAAAAGCTCAAAATGCTCTGTTCTGCCCTGGCCTGTTGTGATGTCATGAAGTGCTAGTTTTCAAGTTAACATCTAACTTTTACCTTTTGATATCCAAATGATTCCAGTGAAGCTGAATGCAGTTTCAAAACGCAGTGGGGCACTTCCTGTATTTCCACATGACATCACAAGAACTCAGGCTAAATATGCAGGGTTTGTGTGACATGTGTGAATGAAACAAAACACAACTCCGGGAATGTTTTTGACGAGGAAACAACATTAAAGCCAAAGAGAGGTGTAAAAAGAGCGTAATATGGGTCCTCGTTGGTCTCCCAGTCCACATTAACAGCGACAGGGTTGTTCGGAAATGCTTGTTCTAGAAAATGTTGCCATCATGTGGTGATTGTTATTACTACACCGCCTGTGAATACGAAGGAGTTGAGAAGTAAATAATAATGATAAAATCTAGCCTTTGAACGAACAACAGCATTTTTATGATCTCTGGTTTTCAATGTAGGATCATGATAGGCTAAGTGAAAAATCTAACACGGTTCAGTAGCCTAATACAAGGTGAGTCAATGACCTCCAGAAAAATCAATGTGACATTGTAGATAATGGTGGGGAGCCTGTTACATCTTCTTGAAACTCATACGCCACTGTGACAAAATAATATTTCCAAGACATTTTGTATTGCCTGGTTACAGATCTCTACAAGATATCTGGCCACAAACATCTCATCTTATTGACACTTTTTATAAGCAAGAATCCTGTTTCTTTTTCGTTAGCCTAATTAAACCTCCATTGTTCCTCAAGCAAAAAAAACAAGATAGGCTCATACACATCTGTTTTAGGCCTAAGTGATGGCTATTGGAGTAGTAGCCTTGTAGTAGCGTGCGTGTTCTGAGCCAATGGCAGGTGTAATGTATACACAGGCCATGAACACAAAGGTGTGTTCAATAATTCAAAGGCAGTAGCAGCCTGTTGGTCTCTGCACGATGTCACCGGTCGCCAGTAGCGGAAGTCGTGGCGCTGTTTGCGGGATGAGAACTGCCAGGAGACCGAGGGAACACACGACAGCTCCCGCACATTCCCTCAGGTGAAATGCTTGGCGTACTCACTGAAAAAAACGCCCGCTTCTTCTGATTCCAGGACTACGCAGCTTTTCCCTGGGATTCCGCTGCGTCCTGAGACATCACCCAGAGTATGGGAGCCTTGCACTCCATACCGGGGCAGCCGGAGTATAGCGACCTGTCCGAGAAGACTGGATGTGAGTAGACATTATGCAACCTCCTGTCATCATGATGGGACAGGCCAGTCAGAGCAGCATATGATATCATCACATTTCTGTTACATTTTTTACACGAGTCCTAAAGCTATACTGGCAATTTGGTACCCAGAATTATTGTAAGATCTATTTTTAGGGTAATACGAGACTACACTACACTGCTTTAGTTTAGTCCAACAACCTATTCAGCATTTACAATAGCAGCCTAATGTGAGATGTAACTTCATTTTATGCCTGATTATTCTACACTACAGGCTTACAGTCTTGATAGTACATACAAATTTTGTTGCTGATCTACGACAAGCAACAGGACAAGATGGATATGCTGCAAACCTGTGTTTTACATAAATGTAAATATCCAATATATATTGCCAGTGCCTTCAAAAGTCAGCTTATTCATGCAGTAATACTGTAGTCAGGAAGTATTTTATCAGTATTTAGTTCTTTAACAAAAACTGCTGAAAAGGCACACTAAATTACATGTTTTATTGTTTCCTTCCAGTTTCATTTGAACAGATCGCTGTACTACACAAAAGATTCAAGCAGCTGAGCCACAATGAAGACACTCTCCGGTTCGTTTCCTAAAATGGCAATGATAATAAGTCATGCTTGTATGTTTACATGTCAGTGTGCATGTCCTACATGTGTAAGACATGCACACTGGCATTTGTGTGATTTATATAAACCTGCCAAACAGGCTTGAGACCACTTTAGACAGCTTGTAATTTTCATTCACAATAACCAATATAAGCCACTCCTTAAAAATACTGTGTACTCATTGTTTCTGCAGGAGAGATGACTTCAGTGCTATTCCTGATCTGGCGTGCAACCCTATTCGTTCACAGATAATAGAGGCCTTCTTTGACAGGAGGTAAGACCGTGTTGTTATACAATTGTATATACTTGAAAGCTTCAACCAAAATATTTAAATATTGTCATATGTTTTCAGAAACTTTCGTCAGAGTGAAGAAGGCACAGTGGAGGAGATCGGTTTTGAGGAGTTTCTGGTGGTTATGTCCCATTTTAGGCCCCCACGCCACAGCATGACAGAGGAGCAGCGTGAGAGCGTGAGGAAAGAGAAACTTCGATGTGAGCTGCACTACACAATAGGATCCAGTTACACTTTGAAACATACTATTGATTGTGTTTTCATGTGGCTTTCTTCCTAGTTTTATTCAATATGCATGACACTGACAACGATGGAACAATAACACTGCAGGAGTACAGACATGTAAACAGTGAAAATAAATATTCAGTTTCACAAGATACAAAATGTGCTTTTATTTGTTGAGAAATTTTCAAACACTAACAGAATAAATAACTGTTCTGTTAACCTTCTCTAGGTGGTGGAGGAGCTGTTGTCTCGCAGTGGGGCACTGGGAAAAGAAACCGCCAAAAGCATTGCAGACGCAGCCATGTTGGAAGTGGCCAGTATATCTGTGGGGCATATGGTGAGATTCGGATTATAATTTATATAATATATATGTTTATACTTAGTACAGCTCTAAATGCTTTTACAAATATTTTTTCTCACAGGAACCAGATGAATTTTATGAAGGCATCACATTTGAACATTTCTTGAAGGTTTGTATTTCATATTTGGGGACTGTAAATATATCATGAACATTGTCTCTACTGTTCACCACCCTTAGTTACCTGCCTGCAATTGTTTCTTACAGCTGCTGAGTGGCTTTGACATTGAACACAAAATGAGCATCCGCTTTCAACACATGGATGCTATAACACTGTGCAAGTGAGAGCTATACAAGTAATGCTGTGAGTTTTTCATGTTTACTTGAGCTTATGGAAACTTTATTTCATAATCCCTTTTTGCTTGTAATAAATATATGCCTTATTCTGTTGAAACTACTATGCAATCTAACTAAAACGAAAACACCTTTTAATGTAAAGATGTTTAATGTAAGCCAGGGGTGTCAAACTCAAAGGGGCCGGATCAGAAAACTCATGTCATATATACCCCAAAAATAACAATAACTTCAAATATTTGTGCAGAGAAACACAAATCTATTACAGAAATCTTTTTTAATTGATGAACTCTTTCTTTTACAAAACATTATAATTATGAACAACCTGAAACTTTAGGAAAAATGCAATTTCAACACAATGTTTTAACATTAACTTGTATGCAAATAGGAATAAGTCAGTTTTTCTTGGAAAATCCTGCACTTGGCGTCCACTTTTCTCATTTTTAACATTTTGCTGATGAGGTCAAAACGATCATCCTTTAAGAGCGTTTGGAAAAAGGCAAGTCTTCATTTGTGCTGCTCTGGTGGGAGGGGCCACTATGCTAAGCACCGCAGAAAATTACCAATATTTTAATAGAAACTATAATTTTAATATTTTAGTAGAAAATCAGCCGAGGGCCAGATTAAAGGTCTTGGAGGGCCGCATCCGGCCCCCGGGCCTTATGTTTGACACCTGTGATGTAAGCAATAATAAGTGTGTAGAGAATGTATGCATGTTATTTAGAGCTGCCTTAAATACTTATGCCATAATATAAATATATATTTGGGGATAGAGGTGAAATATACTGCATATTCAATCCAAATGTACATACTATGATTGTTGTCATAACAGTCTATAAGTAGAGTGCATAACCTTTCTATTTTTAATCAAAACTCACTGATTCATTTCCCTGTAACAATGAAATGAAAATCCTTATTTAGATCATCTTATTTAGCGACTTACATCATAGATAAGGTCGATTTGAAAATGCAAATTGTATTTGTTTCTCATAAACTCAACTATTTAAACAGTAATTCACCAGAATATTTAACAGCCCCCTAGTTTTTTCCAGAATGTTCACTGTAGGGAGACTCTGACACCTCTATTCTCATATATTTTGTTTTATGAACTCTTTACAAGCCATAAGAAAACTTAAGAGTTATAGTATTTAACTATTACTAACTTAATATGCTGATACACGTTTATGTGTTGCACATTTTAATATGGTGTGCTATGTTTTCTCATTTTATAAGATTATGAATAGTAGAAAAAAGAAAGGAAATTAATATTGACTTATTTACTAAAATACACCAGCATGCATTAACATTGTACTCTAATGCAAATAACATAGCTTAGTATTAGTGAATTCTATAGATTTATCTATTAAATGAAAAATGCCTACCTGTAGCAATACATTTAAAGACACCAGCTGCATCCTGCACTTTAACTGTTGTGTAACATTACTCCTAATAGTTCTCTTTGCTTTATACTGCCATCTACCATTAAAAATATGTACTGCATGGTTCTGTAATGACATGACTAACGTTTCCAAACATACTATATTATATAATATATAATATCTTTGTATTTATAAGCAGGTGAGACATCTGTGCATTGACATTGACTTGGTATGTGTTTGCTCCAAAATAAGATGAAATAAGATCAACATTATTAAAGAAACAAGAAGAACTGTTTTCAAATGTTTACTCATTGAATTAACCCTGACATAATTTTTTTAAAATAAAATGTAACCTACCATACTGATGTTTGATTTCTGCCTTTATTTTGACACCACTATGTCACATCTTAATATAAGAGGAGCTTTCAGTGCTGCATCCTTCAGTGGCCCCGTTGACACTGGGTCATTTTTGAGTTGGTAAGACTCAGGACTAAAGACTTACACTCTTTTGGTGGGGCATTTGTAGAGAGTTGTTGCCCTGAGGTAACCTCTGGCCTGGTGCTTAAAATAAATGTAGGTTATAACGAGGAACTTGATTCATGACCCAAAATGATTCTCCTCAACTTCCAGTTTCCCTAAAGCTTGTGATGTGAGGAAAGTTATGTTAAGCATTACTTCATTTCCCCTGTAACATTACAACAACCTTAACACACTAAAAACATACCTATGCATTTTGTTCATGCATAACTTCCTCTTTGTTTCCGGGATTTCAAATGAAGGTGCAACATAATTTATACACACTATATACAGTAGTGTGACCCGCGCCTTGTGACTGCCCAGACGTCCCGCCAGTTTCATGAAATCTTTCCTATCTGATGGACACATGCGTCACACGGCCCATATCACACTGTCAGCGTCTCAGCAGCTTCCTGATTCTCCTGTAACTCTCATGGAATACCCCTACTGCAACGTATTTGGGAGCAAAGATTCATCTAAATCACAGAACACCTCTGAAAAAAAAATATTATTTGCAAAAGATTTACTTAAATAATGACACTTTTCACACCAAACAATAAACATAAAGTACCAATTCCAACATACAATGTAAATATATTATCATTTTTTGTATTGTTGACATTTATTTCTCAACAATAGTGAAAATAAATATTAAATAACATAAATAGTCTTTGTTACTAACTCTGGTGTACCAGCCACCTTCCACTGTCATGTATTAAGTCATTGTCAAACCACTGTTTTTTTTTCTTCACAAAACACAATTCCAATTCTAAGGCCAGCCTTAGAAAAATGTGTTGATCCGTCGTGTATTCATTCCACACATTTGGTTTTTCAGTGTCCTTAAAAATTTGCTGACATTTGACAGGAACTCCTTGTATGTTTTGAGTACCACACAGCCATAGACCTTCTGTTGAAAGATATTCTGAGGTGGAGGTAGTGACGTAGCCGCCCCACTGGGGTCTACCACGAGAGGAGGCGAGTTTGGAAACAGCTCCTGATAAACAGCGTTGATTTGAGCGTCCAGGTACTGGCTGCGTTTACTGATGGTACTCAGCTGCTGCAGCAGTGGGCTGTCTGGCAGCTGCAGGTCTGTCTGCTGGTCATACACTCTTTTGAAATGTGGACCAAACTCCTGTAAGCCAGTGTGGATGCTGCTGATCTGCTCTGAGGTCTCCAAACCAGAGATGTTTGGGTCTGGAAGCCCACTCAGGGTCACTTTACAAATGAGCTCCGACACGTCGCCCTGAGAGACCCTCTACAACAGAACAAATAACAGTGTTAGAGTATGGTAAGGATAGAACCACACAAAATGAGTAAGAAAAGAAACCAAACCCCAGGCCAGTGTTAAAGCTGTACATAGACCAATTAAATACAACTTATGAGATATGAAGTCCATTGTATATGCACAATTGACTCTTTAGCTTTAAATGAAAATTAAACCGACTCCACCAGAATGGGTCTTCCCTCTACGCTACACAGAATGGTAATGTAAAATCCCTGCACATTCACACAAAGAAACAGCACAAGAGATACACTGTACTCACATATGTTTTCATTATATCCACAGATTCCTTTTGTGCAAGTCTTGCGAGCTTCAGCGTCTGCAGAAGAGAGTTCCCACACTGCAGAGTCCTGCTTGCTGCCACCGTTTTAGTTGAATCAAAACCCATCATGAGTAAAAGGGAGAGTAATGCTGATGGGACAGAAGGAAGACAGGAGGTTAGAATATGCCCCACCTCAGCAAAGCCACAAGTCCACAAACCTACATACCTCTTTCACATTCTCACTGAATATTTCCCTTCATAATAACCTCTCACACAAACAAAAATATGTATTAAATATGTCTAGTAAATATTTCCAGCACACAGTAAAACATTATTTCATACCAATTTCATTAAGAAAATATGGCTTGCAGACTTCAATTCAAACTCTCAAATAATAAAAAAATTCAATTAGAGTGACTTCATTGAAAAGTCGTAGCATCACTTACTTGCTGTTTGTGTGTACAGTTGAAAATACATGCTCTTTACATGTCCATTCATTCTCCTTGCAGTACCACAGGCCATTTGCCCTGACTTTGTCATAATCACACTCTTTTATAACTTTTTTAAAGGCAAAAACCACACATTTGTCACAGGAGGAAGTGACGTGCTTCGAGTGAGGCAACACAATTTCCCAGAATTTCCTCCTTCTTCAAATGAGTTTTTTTTTTTTTTTTTTTTTTTTTTTGCCTTCTACATATTGTTGAGTACATGCCTCCCTTTGAACAGACATGTATGGGCATAGTCCTAATATTATTCCAAGTTTGACCACTAAGGGGAGGCAAAACTACCTAGCTACCAAACTTACTACCCATGGCGATAATAGATACATAACTTCAAATATTTATACTAGCTGTTGAGTGAACTCCCCCCTTGAGATTTGATGGACTGAAGACCACCTTTTTATTTTGCACACTGCCACCTAGAGGTGTTAAAGGCACTAGAACAGTATGTAGTATACCATGAATGGACTTTTAGACTGTAAACACACAGATAGCATCAGATGACTCATATTCATTCACCAAATAAGAAAATGTACTGTTTTATTGTCTATACTTACCATTTAAGGTATTCAAAAATGTACAGAAGAGAATAAGTTGGGTCTTGATTCAAATATAATTCAAGGTCAGTAATAACAGTCCTGGCACATATTTGAATGTAAAATGTGTTTTAATTCAGAACTACAAACACTTGCTTATTTCTATTGAACATAAATAATTTATCACTATGGCTAACTATGGCTTTGCCATTTCATCCACAGTGTACAGAAGTGTTCATTCATATAGGAAGTTTGGCAGGGTCACAGGAAATTGATTTCTCAATCTACAATTTTTCGAGTGCGTAAAGGGTGGACCTCACATGCTGTAGTAGAGTCAGCACTGTAAGACGCAGAGCTCACTGAGCTGTGTGTTGACGTTTTTAAATTGGAGTTTATGTGTCAGAAGACATTTATGTAATCTCAGAATGTAGTAGTTTATAACAGAATGTGTCATGCTATTTTATCCATTTATTCTTTTATTGCTCATTCTTAGGTATTTGTTTGTTCAAATTGTACTATATGTTAAGGCTGTCATCACAGTAAAGGTCCTGTGGAGGATATACTCTGGGCATTCAATGGCCAGATGCAACTTTTAGATGGCTATAGCGGGAAGCCTATTTAAAAAAAAAAAAAAAAAAAAAAAGGGGGGGCATGCAAATTGTCTCTATGTTTTTTTTGTATTATGTTTTCTTTGCTTTCTGTTTTAGCTGTCGGATGCAACAGACTTTTGAAACTCAACCAAAATCTGAAACCACCTTTCACCAGCACTGAGTGTCTGAGAAAGCAGTCAGCAGTCCCACAGGTAGAATAAAGTCTAACACACCCTGGCATCCTTCTCCTCTGAGGGGCTTTCCACTGGGCTCAGGGGATCACAGGAGGGCTGCGGTGAGGAGCAGACCAAAAATTGCAAAGAAACTACAACCTGATTTACTGCCAGTGTACACAGAAAAAGAAAAACCCCCTCATCAACTTTTTATATAGTAAGTGTGAGAACCAGTTTGTGATGGTTGTGATAGCTAGTTTTTAGTCTTGTTGGAGAGACTTAAGTGATAATTAAAAGAATATTAAACTTAATTGGTTATACTCAACCAAAATTAGGGCTGGAAGTAGGGCTGTGTCATTAATTAAAATTTCAACGAATGGTCAGTGATTTGCTTGTTTGTAATGGACAGATCTACAGCCCATCTTCTGAGTTCAGATACTGGAGAAAGTAATTAGAAGTAATTATTTGTTGGTTAAATAGCATTTAAATAAAAATGAAACTGAAGACTGTGATACACCAATATGAAGACAAAAACAAACAAACAAAAAAAAAAAACATTCTTTTTTGTCATATCGCAGCCTTATGAGAAAGTAAGAAACAATAACAAAGATTATTTTTCACATGATTTACCTTATCCTCTAACATTGCTAACTTTAATACTAATACTAATAACTTTCCTACTAGCTTTTTAGAAATTGTATTATTTCTATACAAAACCATTTCATTTGAATAATGCTGTCTACTTAACTAATTATTGTCAAACTTAACTTCTTCTTAAGAAGGTAATGTGGGTGATAGTTGACTTCTGTCAAACACTATATAGGCCGCCACAATCACAACAATAAAGCTACTTTGAAGTTAGGCCACATCAGAAGGCGTTGCAAAGAAATCCTGGCTTAAACAATCAGAGTTGCACTGTCATTAGGTGCAGGATGTTGATTGCGACATGTTTTTTTTTTTTTTTTTTTCATCAGAATTTCTTTTATTGTGACTTTCAACTGCACAGGAAATAATGGTGGATGTGGTTATAAAGGAAAGTCCCCCTCAGTTTAATCTGAAAACTTTCTAGCAACTGTTTTTTTGTTGTTGTTTTTTTCATCACAAATCACGTGAAATGCAAGTCCTTCAATAACAATGAAACTATATATTTAACCTATTAAATCAAGTTTTATGAAGGTATTATTTATCAAATGATTACTTACTGCAGTTGTCTGTCAAAGCCTGTCTATATTTTGTTAAGATAGAACCAAACCTCTACATTCAAGTATTAAATGTAAAGTTTACTTCATTAAAATGACTTTGGATGGTAGTATCACATCAAATACTACTACTGCAAATAATTCATATATTTTGGGTGAGCGCTGTACCAAAAGGGCACATACAAATAAACTACTCTATCATTTATGGGTAGTTCATTTGTAGTCACATAACCAAAGAAAAAATACATGCTTGTAACACACAAAAACATTTCATTCAGCACCATCAGATTTTAAAAAGTGACCCATGATTTAAAATAGTTTTTATTTTTTCATACATGATATACTCAGTTTTTAAAGTGTTCCACTTCATTTGGGGAAATATGTCAAACCAAACTTATAGCAGAGTTTTAACTCAGGGAGGGTTTAAAATTCTTCACACTTTGTAAAAATTAACGGTCTCTCTAAGACAAAACCTACAAGGCTAAAGGTGATATTATAAATTAAGCACCGAACAATTCTTTTCCATTTATTTTTAAATGGAAACATTGTGCAACCTGTTCAATGACCATAATATTCATGGTAAAAATATCTGATCTTTAGACACAAATTTCTCAATTCAGACGCACATGTTGTGTTGGTATTTGATCAGAAACTGTATAGGAAGAGTGTGGTTTCATTCACCTGCATTTATACAATCGGACAGTCTAGTGATTTGACCTATAGCAATATATTGAGCTATTATTTCTCTACATTACAAAAGAAAACTGAGTCTTTATTGTAAGCTCTGTTATTGGTAATAGACCAGTGTCTCTGTATCATCTATATTCTCATGTACAAATATTCATATCAAAAGTTATACAGCACAATTCTCACCATTTTCCTTTACAAGAACTCTGATTAGTGAACATTAAATGATCCACACATTTAGCTCAGAAAGAAACATGGCTGACACTGAACACTGAACTCAAATCTGCATCAGGCACAACTTAAAAGAAGGCATTTGTGAGATGATCTATGTTAAAATATGGCGCCTGTATGTTCAGAATTTATCAACTGAAACAATATAAGCTATGACCACTTTTATATACAAACAGATTCATGCTTCACTTCACAACCTGAATTTGTCCTTAAAGTGCATGCAATATTAAGCAGATTTACCAAGTGGGATCTCGAGTTGCCAATTAACCTTATATCAAATAAAGATAATTTAAGGACTGTTGTCTAGTATACTGTATGCATAAGCATGTGATGAATGGCCAGAAGGGAAATCATTAAAGTAATCTCTCACTGTATTCGGTGGACCCTATACAATAATATTAACATTCTAAGCATATAGCAAATCAATCAAAGATAATGAAGTGTTGTCAAACGATAAACAGACTGAAGCAGCTTAACACCACGGGAGTCCGCAGCTCACATTCCACATTGTCCTTCCATGTAACACACACATAGCATCATATGAACATGAAGTTTCTACTCAAAATATAACAAAGTGCCCATTGTACTAAAATTTTCCTGATTTGTTCAATTCATACCAAAAAGTGGAAATGGTGTTGAGGAGTCTGTATTTCTTTTATAACACATGTCGGTTGAAGTTACACTGACTAGGCTTGAATTATTGTTATGTTTGTGTTGTTGTAGCATCTTTTTGTATTATACTTCCCCATTATTCAAGTTTCACAAAAGAAGTTGTTCATTGCACATAACACCTCGATTTAAAGATCCGATATCTAATTGAAGAAAAGTAAAAGAGAAAGGTATATCCGACTTGGTCAGCGTTAGGAGTTAGGAGAAGTTGCGTTCTTGGTCAAGTGTGAGCAGAGCACAGATATGTAGTCCACTACTGTGTTAGTCCACTTTCATCTGTTGTCTTCTTTGGGGAAGTCCAAAGATCCCAGGCTGCCAAAGCCCAAACTGCGGCTCTCTGTGTCAAAAGTGTGTAATTCTCTGTCTTGTCGTTCAAACAGTTGCTTTATTCTCTCTGTGCGTTCCTTTTGAAGTGCTGCTAGTTCTTCTTCAATCTGTCAACACACATAATTACAATATTTAGAATATACAAATGAAAATATAATTCATATAGGTCTTTGTCTTCCATCTGAAATTACGACATCATCAAATTCTCAGAGGTGTTTTGGGGTATCTCCTCTCAGGTCTGGACCAAAACATTACTGAGCTCCTGGACAATCTGAATTCCAACATGACAGCTTCAGGAGGGCCAGAAATTGATTTGGTGCTTAAATGTTAGCTTTATTATGACTGTAAAAACTACCATCTGATCCCTACCTTTTTAAGAATTTCAGAGAGGCAATTTACTCAAATTCTGTAAAGGGGTCAGTAATTGGAGTTTTATAGGGTTTTACATGATACCATGTCTATGTACATAATATATTCCATGTGTCTGGTCAGCCTTGCCTTCTGTTCCAGGTGTGCTCTGCGGATGGAGACCTTCTGCTGGAGTTTCTGCTGCTCGCGCTCGTGCTGACTCTCCATTTGGGCCTGGGTCTTCCGCTGGTACGCGTCCAGCAGCTCCATCTCCTGTTTCAACTGTTGCTCTAGAGCCACCAGCTCCGACTCCTGCTCCGACTCCAGACGCATCTACACAGGATGAAGCAAGCACCCAGGAATAATGAGTTATGAGAACAAAAGCTCTTCACTAACTACAAAACCAGAAATAAAAAATTAGACACGGTGGAATAATTTAATTATTAACCTTTTCTACATTCTTCTATATTTCATCAGTCAGAAAAATAGCAGTATTATGAAATCATGTACCATAAAAGGGATGGCATTATAAATGGAATATTAAGTATAATCATAACATTTCATCAGGTCAAATAAGTGACAAATGTATTCCTACTGAACAGAATTACACAAATACCGCTTGTGAGGCCATCATTTCGTTGATGCTATGCTCGTACTGCTCCGCCAGCACTGCAAGTTTGCGCGTCTGCTCTTCTTTGAGGCTCCTCAGAAGGGTTTTGTGGTCGCCTTTGGGAGACACCTCCAGCTGGTGATTCTTCAGAGCCTTGTACTGTTTATTCTGCACTTTACATGTGTCCTGGAACTGTTTCTTGATCTGCATCTCCATCGTCTGCACATAAGAAGACAAGAGTTAATGACTGTGACAATATGTTTTACAATAGAATCTTAAATGCTGAAGAAAAATGGTTATTCTGCTATCAATATTGGTCCAAATAATCACTATCGTAGATTCCTGGGTGTGTGAGCCTTTTTGCTGTGTGAGGAGCACCTTGAGGTCCCTGGGCTGCTGCCTCTTCTCCAGAGAGTGTTTCCGATGGAGCTCCCTCTGCCTTCTGTTGTTGTACTCCTCTTGGTTCTCCAGCTCGGTCTGGTGTTGGAGGCGCATCAGCTCTGCCCTCAGCTTCTGGAGCATCTGCAGCTGCCGCCGCTCCAGGTCCTGTGTGGACTCGTCCTGCCGGATCAGCAGGGCATGCTCCATCTCCTTCTGTGTGCGCTTCTTATTCAGTTCCTGGGACAAGATAGACGACCACTTATAGATATAACTTAATTTGTCCAAGAATAGTATTTGTAGTTTTTATTCCCCGACAAAGAGAATCAATACATAAACCCAATACCTATGATGATGTACTTCAGTACTACATTAATTTTAGTTCCACTAGAAAGATGTTCCTGGAAGTAACAATATAAACATACATTAATTAGATTACATTTAGAAATATACCTCTCTGATTTGCTCCTGTTCAAACTCGTGCTTCTTGATGAGTGAACGGCGTTTGAGTGCTCTGCAGCTGCGGTCATACACCAGCCTTTGTTGGGCCAGGACATGAGCCTCCTCCTCGGCCTGAGAGCGCTGCACCGTCTCTTTGTGTCGTGACAGACGCTCCTGCTTCTCCTCTTTTGGCGTACAGGGGTCCTCACTCATCTCCTATTATACAAATACAAATTCATTTGAGAATATCTCTGGTATTGGTTCAACATAAGTTTGGGGTTTTGCAGGTTTTTGTATCTCACTAAGTTTATATATTTGTCATGTCACATCTGAATTGCTAAAATAAAATAGTAAAAGTGGTTAACAAAGTCAAACTTATGTCTTTGTTTGAGGCAATACCTCTTTGAGCTTGTCCTTGCAAAGTCTGTACTCCTTTTTCTGGTTCTCTAAGAAAGCAGCCAGTTCCCTCTTCTGCTGAGCAATGATCTGTTGCTGGATCCTCCTCTCCTCAGATGCAGCGGTCTTCATCTGTGTGGAGACATGACAGTGTTGATCACAGATTCTTTTCAGTAGACCATGTATTGTATTCCTTAAGGCTCCCATACCTCTTTGTCCGTTTGAGCAGCATGCCTCTTGGCCAGCCTCTCCAACTCAATGTATGTGTTGTTGGCATGTGTCTCTATTTCCTTCTGTAGTCGGAGCCGGTGCTCATCCATCTCGGCCTTAAGCCTGTTCTCCAAGGCGATCAGCTGCTTTTGGTGCTGCCGCCGCATGCGCTTGTACCCAGACATCTGCACCCGCAGCTCAAAGTCCTGCTCATGCTCCTGGATCTACCTGTTGACCTACACAGAGGAACACAGGAGGCAGGAGGTGAAAGAGGCAGAGTGAGCACAGAGACACAGTCACCTGGACTGAGAGGAGAGCAGGGAGGGACATGGACTGGGCAGTTAGTCACTTTTCTACTATACAATATACAAAACCGTTGTTTTCATAACCTTGCTGTAGGCCTACAGAAATCACATTACCTCACTTTATGAGTAAAAACTAACTAACTAAAGGTTTTTTTGCAACTCAATAAAAGTTTGTAAATAATAACTAACTTTTCTTATTATTCAACTTGAGAGTTATTGTAGGCCATGACAAGTATGCAACACATTGGCTACAATGGTGCAATGATATGGCCTGATAAATATTCTTTATGGTTTTGGAGCATATTGAAGCCCACAGTGCCTCAATTTAAAGAAGTGTAACAAAATGTAACATGAGTGAACAGCACATGAATACTGTGTGGCTTTATTGACCTAACAGAAGTACATTTAGATGGGCTACATGAACGGCAGAAGAGACGCTGAGGTAGAACAGGCTGCCGTTGCCATGACTACAGATGTACAGCTGAGAACACAGACACCACTCTCCTCCGCGCGCTCCCCCGCCGCCTGTTCACGCACACACACGCACACACTCACACACGCACAAACTCACACACGCACAAACTCACATTTTACTGACGCGCGCACGCAAACACGCACACGTATCTCATTTGCTCCTCTTTTCCCAACACGCGCGCGCATGTGTGAGAGATAATGTGTGTGTGAGCGCGTACCAAATATGCTGATTTGACGGTGGCGATGTGTTCAGAGGTGTTGCAGTCGGGAGACCGGCTCTTGTGAGGAGGAGGAGAAGTAGGCCGCAGTTTTGGCCTGGTGTCCCTGTGCACAGCCTCATCCCTCACGCAAGCATGGTCCTGCTGGGGGGAGGAAAAGGAGGAGATAGTGGGGCTGGATACTTCCCAGGCCCGACACAGTAACCACTGCCTCTTCCCTGGCCTCGGTGATTGGCGAATCTCTCTGAATGCAGCACACATCCAGCTTCGAATACATCATTTCCCTCGCTAAGTCTTTCCTAAGAGAGAAAAGGGCATCGCCAAACAAGTGCAGGCACCAATGCAGAAGGAGGAGAAACCAGGCAGCTAGAGTAGATGTAGCTCTTTTTTCCTGCGGCTTGGATTATGCAATGCCTACCATTGATACTCCACACACATGCATTTCACTTCTTGTCTCCTCTTCCGTTTCAGAAGATTTGGGAGAAAAAAACGCTCTCCGTCCCGCGTTCCCATGATGACCGCATGTGTGAACTGGTTTACAAAAATCTCGGTCGCATAATAAGGCACATCCACTCATGGTTTTGGTCCGAACGTGTCGCGTAAGGAGTCGTTTGTATTCCACACCAATTTGTGTCCTACATTTGCAGCGCACTTGGTCATGGTAGGTGGTTCTGGTGCCTTCTATTCATCGCTTTGCTCTATCCCTCTTCTACACTCCCCCTTCCTTTAAAGAGACACTGCATTACTACAAGAACACTGCTCGGATTTTAGCTCAATACTACTACAACCAGATCTATAATCTAATGAAAAATGGCCAACACTTGATCAGGAAAAGAGTGGGCGTGTGTCTAGTGAGCTGTTGGCTTCAAATTCAAATAGCCAGAAACAAACAAACACATTACATCATTGTTATAGTAATAGTCATTTCCTATTTGACCACAAGAACCTGCCCCCTTCACAGTATTCCGATTGTCATCATCGTTTTGTAGGCTAATAAGAATAATTTAGTTCATAGACCATTTTGTTTTGGCTTTTGATTACAACTGACTTTTGCTAATTTGAGTTAACTAGTTCTAATTGCAGCAAAATGGGTTTAAAGTAGCCTATATTTAAGTTAAATGCACGTTGCAGTTTATTATGGTTATGGATGAAAATTGTAGGCCTACTCATGTTTTGAATATGTGCACGCTTCATGAGGTGACATCATCATTATTATTATCATTATTAAATCTCAACATACTATAAATGTTCCATTTTAGCCAGCAAGAATAGGCTACAACAATAAATCAATAAATAATAAATAAATCAATAAATTAAAAAAAAATATTATATATATAGATATAGATATAGATATATTCATAAGATAAAACCATTCAGCCCGTTTCACTTTTTAGAGAAGAACAAAACACAATACAATTCGCGTTTGTCTACTGAAGAGGCATTAAGACATTATGTATATACCTTGTGAGTACTTAAGGTGTCCCCTAGAGGGCGACAAACCGTAATGTACCAGTGTAGTTATTGAAATACCTACCCTCGCTGTCAGATGTCCCATGTGCCCATGATGACAAATGTAGGCCACACACAAAAATACGTTAGTCCATTAACACGGTTCAATTACGTAACGCCGTGAACTTTAAACGTTCTCTGAACTCTACTACAAATAAATAAATACCAGGCTTTTTTGTCATATTTTATTCAGAGGGCTTTATTGCTTATAAAAAGAAATTGTTATATTCATTATAGAATGAATGTTAATCTGCATTTAAGTCTCTTTACTCATGCATTAGGCCTAGACTCTAGACTCTTAGGTCTACTGCACGTTGAAATGGGGTTATATACTGTATTTTTGAATTATTTAATGAGTAAACTCCAAGTTTGCTTTGTATAAACTGCACTCAAAACACTGAAAACATATAATTTTGTTTTTTGTTAATTAATTAGCAAACATAGGTTAGCCATTGTCAATTATCTATGACCTACTAAACTACTATATAAAATTATAGCTCTTATGTTACAACAAAACTTGTACATCAGTTTCCATGTGGTTGATGTTGTCACTTGTCTGCAATTTGGCTGACTTGAACAGGGATGACCAGCTCAGTGGACGACACACTGGTGCTGCTGGACCCTGGTATGGGAGCCTCCACGGACAAAATTCCTTCAGGAGAGAATGAGGAACTAGCCTGTTGAAGATCCACCCCCTGTGGCAGTCTGAAACAAAACAGAGCTTTATCAGTCATCCATCATATTCAAAGTGAGGTAAATATGTACATTCTAATATGTGAATTACCATGTTATTACCCTTATAAGTAGCCCACTACTCAAACTTGTGACTAATTGATTGATTCATGCATGTTTGAGAACTGTGGTCTGGTCCTGTATTCAAGACATGAGTGCTCAGGAAATTCATGTTTTAACTTACCCCCTATCTCCGCCCACTGTTTTTTTGTTTGTTTGTTTGTTTTTTTAACATCAAATACCAGAAAAAAGATATAGTATGTCTTGTTTACTGCTTTTTGTATGTTTGTGTATTTTACAAACTTACTTATATTTCCGTGTGAAGCACCTTGAAACTGATCCATGCTGGTCCTGCTTTTCCTCATGTTTTCCTAGAACAAGAAAATATCATCAAATTACTTTATATTGTTATTATTTCATTTGATTCATTAAACAAAGTAAATAAACTGTGTTGCAAACCTGATATCTGCATGTAGCCATCCTTGGTTGTGACTGTGATTTCTTCTGGTAAAAAATGCTTTACATCCAGCTGAATCTTCCACCTGTCCTGGCCTGCCCTTACCTCTGATACTCCACCTGTCAACAGTTTCAGGTCATTTTGGGTCAACGCAAGGTGCTGCCCACTGAAAGGAGACAATAGCCCCTCTTTTGTGTTTGCCCCCCAAGAAAGAGACGCTAGCCTTCGCTTGGCCCACTCCAGCCAGTCCACATCACTGGGCTCTAGGAAAGGGGAAAGCCCAAAGTCCTGAGAGAAGATCCGACTTGACTGCGTCCAGTTTGGAAAAGGATCCCAGTTGGCATCACGGCGGAAAATAGGACGCGATATGAGTTTTTTCTCTTCCTCCATTTTGAGATCTTCTAGCTCCTCTGCTATAATATTGTCAATGTAGCAGCTTCACCAGTCCCTTCTTATTTATCCGGATGTTGTTGTGTTTTTTTTTCTTTTTAGCACTGACTAGCTACAAGTGTGATCCAAGGGACGAGAATGTCTTATTGGGTAATGGGGTTGGGGCGTTCCTTGTCTGTTGTCCTTAGAGTCACAGTGGTCAGTGCCAATAACTTGTATTTATAACCTAGAGTGCACATGGCAAGTTGCTGGAGAATGACTGGAAAGCTGTAAAGAGAAAGTTCAGTTAAGCAGGTCTTCTGTATTCCTCTCACATACTGGGGCTCTTTGTCTGCACAAGTTACAACCATGTGCCATGGGAAGCAATGGAACACAAACAACTTCCTTACTCCATCAGCAGGATTAACTTTTTCAAAGATGAAAAGCAGTAGAATTTGTTTATTCCAGCATAGGTTTGCATATGGGTGATAGCAGCGAAGAAGGGATGTGGAATTTTACATCAACAGCTATGACCCAGTGTATGATTGAGTAAATCAGACCAAAGGCATTTTAATACTACTTGACAAATAGACACCAAAGGGTGTGTTAAGTACACAATCTTGAAAATAGGTTTTATAATGGGTTTAGGAACATAGCATACTAAATGCAAATAATGTAAATACAAAATGGTGTTTAGAATTTTAGAAGTTTTCATATATATACAGTACTGTGCAAAAGTTTAAAGCAGGTGTGAAAAAATGCTGTAAACAAAGAATGCTTTCAAAAATATAAATGACTTTAAATATAAATGATTTTTATCAATTTACAAAATGTAAAGTGAGTGAATAAAAGAAAAATCTAATTCAAATCAATATTTGGTGTTACTACCTTTTGCCTTCAAACCAACCTCAATTCACGCAAAGGGGTACACACAAAGTCGGGGATTTTGTAGGATTATAGTCACGTGTATGATCAACCAATTATACCAAACAGGTGCTAATGATCATCAATGTCCCACATAGGTTGGAACTCAGTCATTAACTGAAACAGAAAGAGCTGTATAGGAGGCTTAAAACTGGGTTAGGAACAGCCAAACTCTGCTTCCCAGATGAGGTTGTGGAAGACAGTCTCATGAAACAGGACATACACCATGGCAAGACTGAGCACAGCAACAAGACATAATGTAGTTATACTGCATCAGCAAGGTCTCTCCCTGACAAAGATTTCAAAGCAGACTGGGGTTTCAAGATGGGCTGTTCAAGCTCTTTTGAAGAAGCATAAAGAAACGGGCAAGGTTGAGGATGACAGACACAGTGGTCAGCCACGGAAACTTAGTGCAGCAGATGAAAGACACATGAAGCTTATTAGAATTCGGAATCGGAAGGTGTCCTGCAGTGCCATCAGTTCAGAACTGGCAGAAATCAGTGAGACCCAGGTACACCCATCTACTGTCCAGAGAAGTCTGGCTAGAAGTGATCTTCATGGCAGTGTTGCAGCCAAAAAGCCATACCTCCGACATGGAAAAAAGGCCAAGCGACTCAAGTATGCACAAAAACATAGGAACTGGGTTCCAGAAAAATGGCAGCAGGTGCCCTGGACTGATGAGTCAAAATGTCAAATATTTGGCTGTGGCAGAAGGGAGTTTGTTTATCGAAGGGCTGGAGAGTGTTACAATGATGAGTGTCTGCAGACAACAGTGAAGCATGGTGGAGGTTTCTTGAACATTTGGGGCTGCATTTTTGCAAATGGATTTGGAGATTTGGTGAGGATTAATGATGTTCTTAATGCTGAGAAATACAGGCAAATACTTATACATCATGCAATACCATCAGGGAGCAGAATGATTGGCCCCAAATTTATTCTGCAGCAGGACAACGACCCCAAACATAAAGCCAAAGAACTATCTTAAGAACTATCTTCAGCATAAAGAAAAACAAGAAGTTCTGGACGGTATGGCCCCCACAGAGCCCTGACCTTAACATCACCGAGAGTGCCTGGGATTGCAAGAAGAAGATGTGAGGAGGGTGACAGAAGGATGTGAGGGGATTTCTCTTTTGTTCATTCACTGCATTTTGTTGATTGATGAAAATAAATGATTAACACTCATTTTTGAAGGCAGTCCTAATTTTTTTTTTTTTCAAACCTGCCTATAACTTTTGCACAGTACTGAATATAAAATATAGGTTATATCATTTTATCATATGTTTAATTTTGATATGCATTCAGTACTGTTGTGACAAAATACTATACTATATTAGCCACAAGGGGTCAGTACAAATAGTTGTTTTAACGGATTCTCAATATTGTGGGATTTTGTCCAATTTGGCTCAGTGATTCAGAAGATGGAGTCTTTATCAGGGCAAGATATGGGTAAAATATCTGTGCCAGGAACAATATTATTTTATGTATGACTGATTTAAGTTTATGTTGATGTTATTTAAATGGCATAAACATTTCCATTTATGAAATATGTATGTATATTGTACATGTACATTATGTGTATTGTTTTAAAAAAATATATATATAAGCACAAAGTATTATTTACACAACAATCCTGTGAAAACTATCCAGTGCAAAGATCTATACATGTGACCAGGTTTATTATACAACATTTATTAAAACATGTCAACATCCATAGTGTGGTATTACTCTTTAACCACAAAGACCTTTGTTCATTCCTGTGACTAATGGAGTGTTGTGTTCATTACAGTGGTTTAACCTGGTTGGACCACAACTATCTTAAACTTCCATGAACTTCCATAAAGTAACAATAGTTAATGATTGGAGTGATCTTTACAGCTTTTTCAGAAATTTGCACTCGTCACCACTTGGTTGGCCTGCGCCGATGCTTTCCTGGATGGACAAAAAAAAAGTGACACATTTACTGGTAACACACCTCATATCAGTTCCATTATGATGCAATACATACCTTTTGTTTTTTCTGGAGAGGAGTATGATGGTTGTTATGATCACAATGAGAGCTATTCCTCCAATCACAGTGCCAGCAACAATTCCAGCAATATTAACTGAAAGTGACAATTTCAGCAACATTAAACAAAAAAGTAACAAACAAAAACAGACTAACAGTTAGAAAAAAACAACACACACACAAGATCTCACAGACAATACGCTGGACATGAGATTTTTTTCATTCAAATCAATAATCAACAGATCGTACTGATGCATATGTGCCTTGCTTTACCCCGACAGAAATACATAACAAATTTTCAAGAAAGAAGAGATTTTGGTGGAAATATGTTTGAAATGGAAAGGTTTCCAGCTGCTGTACTCACGAGGCCAGGTAACAAATAAAATTATTTATACTGAAAAATACACTGTACCAGGTGCTCTTAAAATATGTTTGAAGGTTCAAAGTTCAAGCCCTGATAAGATCAATACAGATGAAGGGTGCTATTTGTAGTAGTGAACAGAAGAGATAAGTAAATATAATAAGAGATAAGTAAACTCATCTTTCCATCTTAAAAATCTCTTACCAGATGATATCAAGATGTCAATGTACTGATATAGTTATAAAAGGTATTGTCATTAAGTGCACTGGTCAGAGGAATAATGATAAAGATACATTTTAAATAACCATTTTTGTTGTCATATGATTGGATGGTGTATGATTGGCATATGATCAGACCGGTCAAACAAACACATATTTTCAGATTTTCAAAGACAGCAGCAGAATCATAATGTTTGATTTTCTCATTTATTTGTACTTAGTTTGCAGACTGTGTCCTTTCCAGACCACTGTCCATCTGGTTGACACACTCTCTCGGACGACCCTGTCAGAGTATAGCCCTTCTCACAGAAGAAAAGCACTTTGGAGCCCTGTAAATACGTAGTGCCATTTTTCCTTCCATTAGTTGGTGGAGAAAGAAAGCCACAGGTCACCACTGCGATACACAATAATATCTGAGTAACAAGTTACAAGTATTAGGACCATTTGTATTTTGATCTCACCTGGCTTTAGGTCATCCACTAGGGTAATATGACTCTGAAATAGCATTTTGGTGGAGTTTCCAAGCATTAGATTGCGACCTACAAGGATATCATACCTGCAGGAAGTTAAAAACAGTTATAAACAAAACTGAAATGACTGAGCTGATACCTAATGTGATAATTCATTTGCAGCTATTATTATTTATTTGATTAAAATTTTAGATTTGTGGCTTGATGTACCTGCAGAACCAGGAACCCTCGCCTGAGCAGATCTGAACTGCCTGATTGAGCAGTGGATCGCTTGAATTTTCAGTAACATAAAAATCAGGGAAAAAACTTATGTCATGTTTAGGGGCATTTTTGTATTCGTTCTCAAGATATGCAGTGTCATATGTAAACAAAGACGAACTTTGTGAAATGGCCCCTGGAACACAAAATGGGACATTAGTATGTGATTCATATTATTTGAAAAACCTTAAAAGAATGTATGCACTCACAGCTTGCTCCAAAGCTGAAAACCTCCTCTGGGTTGCTGATATTTTGTACGACCTGACCATTGCTGAGGGTGAGGTCATCTTGGGCATTGTTGTTCAGATTTCCCATCAGCCCCTGGGTTTTGTGATAAAAGTCCTCTGGCAGAAGCACGGTGGTCGCCATATTGTCTCCTCTGAGGCGCACCTCCACCCCCGCCCCACTCGGGAACATCACCGTCACATTGGTGGAGACAGGAGAGAACACAAACACACCTGAATAGGAGCCAAGCATGGCACAGTTTTAGTTTAGATATAAAGGTTTCTTTTGAAACTAAACAAAATATATATTTATAAAGGAATAAGGAAAGTAAAACAAATTAGTTGTGATGGGTGAGCAGAAGGTTAATTTAATGTAATGTAATTTACTTTACTTTAATGTGACAAATATACTTTTACATTTACATTTTACATTTACTAGCAAGTTATTATCATTATCTGTTACCACCATAAATAAAATAGCTCTTTCCATTGATATTATTATTTTTATTGATCAGTAGGAAAAAAAAAGAGAAGCTGGACTAACCGTGCAAGTCCATCCAGGTCTGTTCAGTGAATGAGAGCTTCTCCTGATTTTGCAGGACCTCCAGGCGACTTGGTTCACTGACCATTCGCACCTCGATGACATCAGAAGACATCTCGCTCATGGCCACAGCTGTCATCTTTGTTGCTTTAATTTTATCTGAATAAGAAAAAAATATATGTAAAAATATTTGTTTTAAAATATTTAATATGGCATGTATGTATTAAGTAAATATACACTGACCGGTCACAGGTTCTGTTCTGCCTTGAATAGACAGATTTTTGGCAGGTGCAGAGACTAAAGTGTATTCTCCTTTTCCATTGAAAGAGTAGCTGACACCATCAAATGTAATGAAGTGTGGATCTCCAAACACTACCGCTGAAATATTATTGTTTACATTTAGACCACTACACAATTCACAGATTTGAACAGGATATAAATAATAATTTTCCACCTGATCTTGGAGTCTTGTATCTCCCACAGCCACTGGATGGACGGTGCTTGAAGTAGTAACTGCAGTTGTCTGACCAAAGGCAACAGTAGTAGAAGCTCAGGACATCATAGAGCCAGTGAGATTGTCCTGGGATGCGAGGGGGTCTCTTGAAAGGAGGTGAGCCCCAGTCGTGGGCTCTGTCTGGTGTGCTGCCCCCTATGGAGTCTCCTGTCAGCACTTGATCACCACGGCTGTCATAGCAACACTGCTGTCCAGCTGCATACATAGGACTGAGGGAGAAATGTTTTTCAGTTTAGGGTTGGAGGTTTATCAGTCTATTACTATTTTACTTATTTTAGTTCTTTATGGCAGTCTAGGTTGTGACTACAGTTACATTAGGCTGCTGTTATACAGGTGTTAGAGGGGTCATAAACTCATTTGACATATGAATAATATCTTTGATGTTCCAATAACTCTTATCACAGCACATTGGAGTAACTCCATTCCTCACATGGACAAGTGGTTGTAAAGTATGGGCTGGGTTTCTTATGTGTCAAGGATGAAGATGAACTATGTCTTTGATATTGGTCACTGAATATCAGAAGTATTACAGTGTGAGGGAGGACTCACCTGGCTTGTATGGCTCTGACACAGTGGACACTCCCAGGGTGATAAGTGCACACACTCCCTTTCTCTATATCACAGCCATAATCGGTCTAAGGAGAAGATGCAAATCAGATTTGTTACATATACCTACAGCAACTGGACATGGTAAGGCAAGTTAATACTGATTTGGAAAATATGTCATTTTTGTGTAAACCATTTGTGTTCATTCATATGATGATTCAAAAACATCACTCCCATCAGCTGACGCTGTGTACTTTCTGTAGGAAAATAGCCCGACCTATTTGTGATACTTACATGAAAGCGGCCAGTGTCTGCTCTGGCCTGAGCCAGAGTGCATGGACAGTCGATAATCTCCTGGAGGAAGTTTGGAAGCTGGGTTTCATACTTATCCCAGGCCAGACACTTCTCCTCGGCCCAGGCTGCAGAGTTTGCCCTGAATTTCTCGTCCAGGTGCCAGGCTAGAGCATGGTCTTCAGTCCACAGAGCTTCTACATTCCTATGTACATGCAGCAGTTGAGTCAGTAGTTTTGATATTTTACACAGTAGGGCAAACTTCTAAGTATGACTGATGAAGTATAAAACATAAACAAAGAAATAAAACCATAACTTATCAGTGATTCTACATACCATATGCCATCTGGGTACACACTAGAACTGATACGCAGCATCCCGACCTCCCAGTTGGAAAAGATTTGTGGCGCAGGTTGGGGTACAAAGCTGAAGGAGCCACTGTTGGAATGACCCTTTGAGAGTGTGTAGAGATACTTCCACTCAGCCTCCCAATCATTTGTGTAGGCTGTCCCTGTATGCACATATACAATCATAAATGTAATAGACTTTTTAACAGTGAATAATGAATTCAATTTAGGTGCTCACCTGTCTCCGTGTAACCCCACAGTTCTATGTTGACTCTGTCAGCTTTGACCATGGAAGTGTTCCACGTCATCTGAAGACTTCCAGAGACATAAGGCGTGCCATAATACTGCCATTTAGTAGAATTGACCAGAACAGCCTTGAATTTTGAGTTCAGCTTTCCTGTGTGAACTGTAGCAATACATATTCTCCACGTTATTCTTTGGTTGTACGTATAAAGTAAGTGACAAAATGACAAAATGTACCTGATAGCCATTTGCCAGATCTGGTGAAGTTTGTGCCATTGTTGGTAGAGATTTGAAAGGGGATCCACCCTGTTTCATACAGAAAGGGTGATATGCAGTGCCCTCGGCTGAGTTCATCAACATGTCCCACAGTGTCAGTGTTGTTGTTAAACCTGATACAACATTATGGCTGTTAGTTTAGTTTATGTATTTATTTAATGAAACACAGACAGTGCACAAGATAAATTAACCTTAAGAAATGTGTTTTACCAGGTTCTAGCACCAGTGCAGTTTCAGCTGTAGTCATAAAATCAAACATTCAAGGACAATGGCACAACAATGATCTAACCATTATAAAGTTCTGTTCACAGAACTTGACATCACAGCATTCTATAGGCCAATATTAATGAACATAGATTGGAGCAGGTAAAATTAATATTGTTGAAATACAAAATTATCTGACAGTACCGTTCTTGGATTTAGACAATATTTGAAAATACCAGGCTCAACAATTGTGAATTCATCTTTTGGATATTTAATGGTAAAGCACAAAGTAATCAATAGGGAAATCTGGCTCTTGCCCCCATCTGAAAGTTTGACACACACGCACACATACACACATACACACATACACACAAGCACACACGTACACACACGTACACACACGCAGCACACGCACACACTCACACACACCCCACACACACACACAGACATACACACATATACATGTATCAGTCCACATTATGGGAGCAGGTTTGGTGCAGAAGGATGCCAATGTTTTGCCACGAATGAAAACGTGCCACAGTTTGGACAGCTCTGTTGGTAACATATTCCTAAGTCACTTATGAATCCAAAAGTCAGGTTCCCATGATGCAAATTTGTTTTATATCATTATTAGATCAACAACAAGATGCAAAGTTCAGATATGGGTTAAAATATGTTATACCTAGGTTTAAGGTTCGGGCAAGTAGTGGTTACTTTAGGTTAGGTCTCCAGGAAATATAATGTAAGCAATTGTAATGCCCCCAAGAAAAATGGAAACTCAACATGTATAAAACACACATCTTGGGTTCCCATGTTTCTTGGGGGAATAGAACATAGCCCATTTTAAATAAAATTTGTATTCAAAGTGTGTTATAATTTATTACAGCTCATAAATCTCACAACTCTATAAACTTTCTTTTTGATATAGATCACATTAAAAATACAAACAAAATGGGGTGACATAGCAAACCCATGCTAGCGCATCCTTACCTGCAAATGATGTGGTCAGTCTTGTTGAACGTCGTGTGAAGAACAACAAAATCAATGCCACCAAAAATGCTCCCAGAATAAGGTTGAATCTGCACACAGTAGTCCCTGTAGTCAGTGCAGCAGTTCTTCAGGGACTCACATGTGGGCTGACAGGAGCACAAGCCTGCAGACGCTCCACATTTCCCCTCACATGACTGACCTGTCAAAATACAAAGTTACTCACTTCATCTAAACATCACTTTAGTAATACATGTCATATACTCACCTAATATACTGCGCACACATAAGAGGAGGAGTAAGAATACCACTCCAGTAGTAGTGTATTTATCCATCAGGAAGATCTGAAGAGGCTTCTCTATTTTCCTGCTTGTCTGTGTTGTCACATAAATACTCAAACCTTGGCCTTTTGGTCTCAGGCATTACCAGCAGCTGTTAGTCATTAACTTCAGACAGAGATATTTCAAAATGGCATTACAGTAAGTAATTCTTCTTTTTTTATCTGTAACCTACTACAAATTATTTTAAAGATACAAGGATGTTTTTTGTGTTTTTTTATGTTATAAAATATATAAATTCTATCTTTTCTCCAAGTAAATAGCTAAGTAAGTAGTTAAAATTATAATGGGTAATAAAACTGGCAGCAGCAATAAATATGGAAGTATCTAAAAGGAGCAGATGTTGAACTGATTTTTTTTTTTTAAAGTATTCTTACTGAGAATAATAGTGATGTACTCTCATAGTCATTAAGAAGTATACATAATTCAACATGTATATTTATATTTACTTGCGTTTAATTGTTTGTTTTTTTTAATCCATTATCAGTTACAAAAGTATAAAAAGTCACGGTTATAAGAAGCAAGGACATTCAAGCACAATGCAGTTACGAGGAGTTTTCCTTATTTAAATAGAATACTGAGGTATTAAAACTGCTTCACAATATTTATGGCTATGACATTTTTAACACTTTTATTGGCTGCCATTGTGGACAGTGATGACTTAAAATCTAGTGCTTGTGTTCATTGTCTCTGTAGATCCATCTTTTTGGCCACACCACCAGAGAAAGTGCAAAAAGAGAGCAGAGTGTGTGAAATAAATGCTTTAAATTCTTGATTTGGTCCTTGATTCCTGAAAGTATGGATGGAAAATTGGTATTATTCATACTATTGTTAAGTATGTACTTTTCTCAACAAAGATTTTTTATGTTGCTTAATTACTGAACTTACAACCATCAAATGTCCATTCTTTGCTCTGTAGACCATGGACTCTTGACCACTCTTAAAGTCTACAAAACCTTCTCTACCAGGATGGATGTCAAACCGCACACTAAATAACAATTCAATGAAAGATGAATGATATTTATCTACTTTTTATTGCTTCAGATGTTGATGTTTACCTGCCCTGGACCACCTGGATACAGTCCTGCTTTTTAGCAATAAGACACAACTTTGTCAATGCCTCAAACAGGTAGTCGCACTGCAGAACAAGGTCCCCCTGAAACACATGAGTTTAGAATGGTGCAGTCAAAAGAGTAAAAGGTTTTAGTCCTGACCTATGTAACACTATGTAATATTATTTTCTTACTCAAAATATACAAAGAAATGTTAGAGCTATGTAACACACAGCACTGTTGATAAAAACCTTTTGCTTGTTGTCGTTTTGCTTCATGTCCTCATATATTACATGGAGTATCAGAAAGTTGTCACTTAAATTGCTAACGGACACACCTGTAGAAGAATAAACAAATATTGTGAAACACACAGTAGATTCGGAACAAAAGGTTATTTCCAAACCTTTGAGTGAGTTGAATTCTATTCGCTGCTTGATCTTGGCCTCCTCCACCAGGTACGCTGCCTCCTGTGTGAAGATGAGCTGTCTGAGACGTGGCCTGAAACCGTTTCTGTCATACTTCACTACAGGGACACTGTACTGCAAGGATAAAGATATGTTTCAAGTTAAATAATAGAAAATGGGTTTTTCATAATTTTTAGTAGTTTACCTGAATACGCTCTGGTCGAATAATCTGAATCACTTTGAGACTTACATCTTCTTCAGCTTTGAGAAAATAAAAGACAGTAAGATTAATTTGTCATGTTAGATCATGTGCAAAACATCTAAAAATGTTACAGTTACCAATTCGAGTGTTGTAAAATGGCATGCAAACACTGAAGGGGTAATTTTCCTTTTTTCCTTTGAACATGGAGCTGGCCTGAACCTTTAACAGCATCTGTAAGACCAACTATAATTAACACCATATGTGATGACATACTACATTTAAAATCCAAAATGTCCTCATGGATTAGTAGAACAATAAAACAATGACTTGAAACTAAGATACAAATGCAATTTTTGGTTACTTGGGCTTTTCGCTGTGGAGAGATCCCTTGAATGTACACTCGCACCAAGTGTCGAATGTAGAGTTTTTTCAGAAGTTGTGATGCCTAAAACCGACACAACAGAAGAAATGGCATAATGGGTAACCGTATGGGCGTAACACACAGCACTATTTGGGTAGTATTTTGGCTACTGTAAATAAGATGTGTCTCACTTCCTGCATTATGGGAGGAGGCGTGAGCCATGAGTCCTTCTCCAGCACTGTTCTGGGGAGATTGTCCTTGAGTCGTGTGAGGTAGTTCTGTCTCACATAGGCCAGATACTCACTGTTGTCCACACAGACTGGCTCATGTCGTGTCATGAAGCCTTTAATAAACCTAAGGCAGATAACATATTGCACTGTTTCTAATTATCCTGTCACTATGTAACTTCATGTCTGCTTACTTTTTGATCACTTTCACTGCCCACTGTCTTTTTTCCTTCTCTTTTCTTGCCATTAACCCTCTCCAGCAATTTTCAATTTTAGTAGCTAAAACCACAAAAAAAAAAAAAAAGGAAAAAATCACCTAAACTTGAAAAAACAGAAGAGCAAAAAACATTTTTAACATTTACCAGCCTCTCTCTGCTTGATGAAGTCTCCCTTCACACGGTAGCCTTTATACTTGGCCTGTATTCTTGTGGCTATACAAAAGAACACACATTTATTTGACTAATTATATTATGTGTAAGTATACCCAGTGTCTCACCTAGTTTGTGTTTGCAGAGCTGAAAGGCATCTTCTGTTGCAAACAATGTCCGTGCATAACGGATGAAGATTTTTGTTCTTCAAAAGAAAATTTAAATATAAATGCAATAAAGTTAAACTCTTGTTTGTGTTAAAAATATTTACCTTCCCATCTTGTATTCGTCAGGTGTGTAGCCCAAGTATTTGATGAGGCACAGCACTCCCTCTGCAGCTGTGCCTTTCCAGTTAGGCCACGTCTCTGGACACAGGGGTTTATATCTATCAGACATAAATGTGTTACTAGAATCCCACACAGCACTAGCAATTCATTTCAAAAGTAATAATAAGATAATACTATATTAAATATTTATAATCTATGACTTAGGGTTAGTAGAGTCAGTAGAGTTTTGTGCAGCCTTTTCGAGATGTCAATATTCTCTTTAAATTCTCTCTCTTAAAATGTATTGTGTAATTACAGTGAGAATACTGTCAAACATCACTATAAAACATTGCACCTCTGAAGGAAAAACTCATATTTGCGGCGATAGGCAAATCCAGCCCGCCTCACCCTGAGGTGCTCCATCAAACCCAAGTACTTGACTTGATGTCTCACCAGCACGTCATCAAAGCGTCCTGCAGAGGGCAGTATAGGTCATTTGCAGTAATCACAGCTGTGTGGAGGTAGGAGGTTATTTTACCTGGCTGTTTTGATTCATTTGGTTTGATGCAGCGGACGTACCAGGGCTCTTTTGACATAAGAATCTCAGTCAAGCCCACCAGACTGGCTTTAAACTGTGTCACAACCTAAATAAAGGCATGAGGGAAGAGATTCTATTGACAAATAAAAGACTAAAGCAAACATTACCGTACATCTGCTGCTTACAGTTTCAGGTCTCCTCTTGCTGTCTGGTTCAGTGGCAGGAAAACAGATCTTGATAATAGCATTTGAGGACTGGCGCATGACCTTGATTGGGAAAAAAATTTTCTTATAAAAATCTGTTACATTAACACCATGAAGTATGAAGACATGCACTTTACCTCTTTGCCATTACGATACAGTAGGTCATTGTTTTTATCCAAGAATCCTTAAAGACCAAAAATCTAATATTAAAGTGTACATAAATATAAATACCGATTACATTATTCACATCTTACCTACAACACAATATGTAACCTCTCCTGCATAGTGCAAGAGGCGGAAATCTCCCCTTTCCAGTGTTTTTCTAGTTTTCTGATTTGCAAGTTTATGTCTGTAACATTCAGCCACAGCTAACAGGTTATGATCTGATCTTTAATTTTCTCAAATAAAAAATGTAACTCACGTGACAAAATGTGGGTGGTTTCCAATTTCTTCTTCCATCTTTTCCAGGAAGGTGAGGTCGGTGGCTTCACCTGGACGTAAACATTCTTCATCCTGGAACAAAGACCAAAATCTCTTTAGCTACAGAAAAAAATTGTACTTGGTAATGTTGCAGCCCAATGTTGTTATTAACCAATAAGGAGATAATCCCTTTGTGCTTTGCCTCTACAAGATCACATATGATTTTGTTGTTGAAGTATGGCACTGGTTCCCACTGCATAGAAACAAATCATTACAGCTTATGGTTTTGTGACATGCAACATTATAAATTAACAAGTGTTTATATTACTTCAATTCCTTCAATCCCATATTCTTCTTGCTCAGATTTGAGTGTCAGTTGGATGAAGAGCTGCTGCAACTTTTCATTGCAGTAGTTGATGCAAAACTGTTCAAAGCTGAAATTAAAAAAAAATGCAGTGAGCCTAAATGTTCAGTTTAGATGTTGTTACAGTAAATGGATAGACTTACCTGTTCACACTAAATACCTCAAACCCATAGATGTCTAATAAACCAATGACTGTTTTTCTAGAAGAGTCCTGATGACAGATAGAAATGTAAAACTAAGTAAATAATAATCAAATGTGTTTCATAAAATTATCTTAACTTAAATAAATTACAGCATTTCTCTTTTTGCATACTTTGTTTGCTAAGGATTCATTGACCTTGCTGACCAGCCAGTTAAATGTCCGGCCATAGATGGCTTTGGCAAGTGCATCTCTGGCATATACAGCATGTTCCACAGAGAAGGGACTGTGCACCTGGAACAATAACAGATGAATGTAATGTAATCAGATTGAATTAATGTAAAACTAGTAAAGGTGTCGCTCAGATATGACTAACCTCCTCTGTTTTGGCTTCAATCTTCTTATGTGTTAAGCCATGCTGAAGTACAGGGGCAGGAATACCAAGTAACTGCATCATAATCATTTATCTGAGTTACTGTTACATGTGCTAACAAGTACTTTGCAGGAGAAATTGCATTTAAATGAATATATAAGTGACACATGCACATTTGCTCTAATTATTCTGTACCTTTGACAGCCAGTAGATCTCCTGGTTGTTGTTAAGCGTAGCATATCCTTGAGCAGTGGCTTCAAATTTGATGTTCCCCAAATGAAGAACACTGGCGATTATTGCAAACAGGTTCTGCGTTGAAGAAGAAGAAATTATATATTATGTTATAGAATCATACTGTCTAATTTTTCCTTAAATTGCCCTCACCTCAATGTCAGCGTCACAGAA